TGAGACAGCCATACCTGTGAATAGCGGAAACATTGGCCAGGTAACAAAGGGGCTTAAACGCTCAGATCACTTATTGGATCTGACATTGGTGGCGTGGAATAGCCAACCACTGATTGGCGTGGAATAGCCAACCACGGATTGGCGTGGAATAGCCAACCACTGATTGGAGTGGAATAGCCAACCACTGATTATCGCCCACAGAGAAGCCTGAGCTGACCAGAGTTTGACCACGGGGGGACAACGGGATCAGAGAAGGGCGGTACGTAATGACAGACGGGCAGCCATTAAATACGGACCCAATGAAACACTACGGGACATTATGACCAGAAAGCACATGAGAGACGGTAGACTGGATTTGGGCCATAATACGAGGTATAAATCCAGACCAAATTAGAAGAAACCAGTACGGACGTGTTTACTGTGACCGGAGTGAGTAAGATTGTGCGTAGTTGTTATTGTTAATAGATACGTTGTGAATGTGGTGTATGAATTGTGAATGGTGTGTCTTAAAGTACGTTGTGAGTTGATACCTTGGGAGTGTTGTGTATGTATGTACGTTGTTAGGTTAATAGGCTATTGGAGTGAAAGACTAGTTGGTTGTGATGACTAACCTTTTTTATTGTCAATTTATTTACAGACTTTGGAGGTCTGTTGGGTTTTTGGCTGTTTTATTTAATAAAATCATCGAACCTACCGTCAGGTAGAAGAAAAGAGTGTTGCTTCATGGGTTATATATATATATATATATATATATATATAAATATATATATATATATATATATATATATATATATATATATATATATATATATATATATATGTATATATATATATATATAAAAATATATATAAATGAAAGTATGTCTGTGTGTTTGTCTTCTATGCATTACTACACTTCATCTGATTGCCTGTGAAGGTTTCTACAGTAAAAAGTCAATTAATTTTGGGTGTAACGTGTCCTGTCAAAGAGTGAAGTTTGATGTTCAAGTCATAATGTGATGATCAAGTCATAATGTGATGATCAAGTCATAATGTGATGGTCAAGTCATAATGTGATGTTCAAGTCATAATGTGATGATCAAGTCATAATGTGATGATCAAGTCATAATGTGATGATCAAGTCATAATGTGATGATCAAGTCATAATGTGATGATCAAGTCATAATGTGATGATCAAGTCATAATGTGATGATCAAGTCATAATGTGATGATCAAGTCATATGTGATGTTCACAAGCCATATGTGATGTTCACAAGCCATATGTGATGTTCACAAGCCATATGTGATGTTCACAAGCCATATGTGATGTTCACAAGCCATATGTGATGTTCACAAGCCATATGTGATGTTCACAAGCCATATGTGATGTTCACAAGCCATATGTGATGTTCACAAGCCATATGTGATGTTCACAAGCCATATGTGATGTTCACAAGCCATATGTGATGTTCACAAGCCATATGTGATGTTCACAAGCCATATGTGATGTTCACAAGCCATATGTGATGTTCACAAGCCATATGTGATGTTCACAAGCCATATGTGATGTTCACAAGCCATATGTGATGTTCACAAGCCATATGTGATGTTCACAAGCCATATGTGATGTTCACAAGCCATATGTGATGTTCACAAGCCATATGTGATGTTCACAAGCCATATGTGATGTTCACAAGCCATATGTGATGTTCACAAGCCATATGTGATGTTCACAAGCCATATGTGTTGTTCACAAGCCATATGTGATGTTCACAAGCCATATGTGATGTTCACAAGCCATATGTGATGTTCACAAGCCATATGTGATGTTCACAAGCCATATGTGATGTTCACAAGCCATATGTGATGTTCACAAGCCATATGTGATGTTCACAAGCCATATGTGATGTTCACAAGCCATATGTGATGTTCACAAGCCATATGTGATGTTCACAAGCCATATGTGATGTTCACAAGCCATATGTGATGTTCACAAGCCATATGTGATGTTCACAAGCCATATGTGATGTTCACAAGCCATATGTGATGTTCACAAGCCATATGTGATGTTCACAAGCCATATGTGAGAGCACCATGGGTGTGTACAGAACAATGGGGACTGAAGCAACTTTCTAGGACTGGCATTCGCAGATCTGCTGTTGGTGGCGTCTATAGAACAATACCTTAGGTTTAAGTACAAGTTTGTGGGGGTCTATTGAACAATACCTTAAGTTTAAGTACAAGTTAAGTTTGTGGGGTCTATAGAAGAGAAAGAATGCTTTTCTTGGCATTTATCTTCATCATAGCTAATCCAAACTCTAATCTGAGCTACTGTATATTATAGTACTTGAGTTATTAAAATTATTAAAAGTTATTAAGGGAATGGGAAAGGGTTAAGTATAAGAATGTGGGGTAGGTTTAAAAAGAATTCAAATAATGTATACTATTATGACTCTAATAATTTGAGTGTCTCTACCGGGCAGATTTGGTCTGCCCAGAACACCCATGTGTTGGGTCTACTGTTGCTAAAAATACTTTTTCTCACTACATAGAAATAGAACAACTCATATGTATTTTATTGGTTTCCTTCCTTACATTATAGGAAATCATGATGTTTTTCTTAAGTTCTATTATAAAATACTACATTATAGTATTTAGGAAATGATGAATGTATGAGATGTTTGAGGAGTTCTATTATAAAATACTACATTATAGTATATAGGAAATGATGAATGTATGAGATGTTTGAGGAGTTCTATTATAAAATACTACATTATAGTATTTAGGAAATGATGAATGTATGAGATGTTTGAGGAGTTCTATTATAAAAAATACTACATTATAGTATTTAGGAAATGATGAATGTATGAGATGTTTGAGGAGTTCTATTATAAAATACTACACACATTCTTGCAATCTGGAGACCAAGTTCTTGAGCTGCCGTTGTAGTAAACTGTAGATAACTTTTAAGAACGGCACTGTCATGCCCTTTCATTTCCAATCTTATCTGTCTGTAGAGTTGATCCTTGGCAGAGAACAAGAGAACAAGGGATTCAACACAATTTCTACCAACAAACTTCAGTTGCGCTGAACGCTACACATAGATGAGATAACAAGGAGGACCAAGCTTACAGATAAACATGAGATGAACCTCCCCACAGATGAGATGAACCTACCCACAGATGAGATGAACCTACCCACAGATGAGATGAACCTACCCACAGATGAGATGAACCTACCCACAGATGAGATGAACCTCCCCACAGATGAGATGAACCTACCCACAGATGAGATGAACCTACCCACAGATGAGATGAACCTACCCACAGATGAGATGAACCTCCCCACAGATGAGATGAACCTACCCACAGATGAGATGAACCTCCCCACAGATGAGATGAACCTCCCCACAGATGAGATGAACCTACCCACAGATGAGATGAACCTACCCACAGATGAGATGAACCTCCCCACAGATGAGATGAACCTACCCACAGATGAGATGAACCTCCCCACAGATGAGATGAACCTCCCCACAGATGAGATGAACCACCCCACAGATGAGATGAACCTACCCACAGATGAGATGAACCTACCCACAGATGAGATGAACCTACCCACAGATGAGATGAACCTACCCACAGATGAGATGAACCTACCCACAGATGAGATGAACCTCCCCACAGATGAGATGAACCTACCCACAGATGAGATGAACCTACCCAGAGATGAGATGAACCACCCCACAGATGAGATGAACCTCCCCACAGATGAGATGAACCTCCCCACAGATGAGATGAACCTACCCACAGATGAGATGAACCTACCCACAGATGAGATGAACCTACCCACAGATGAGATGAACCTACCCACAGATGAGATGAACCTACCCACAGATGAGATGAACCTACCCACAGATGAGATGAACCTCCCCACAGATGAGATGAACCTACCCACAGATGAGATGAACCTCCCCACAGATGAGATGAACCTACCCACAGATGAGATGAACCTACCCACAGATGAGATGAACCTACCTTTATTGATGCTGGGGTAAAGAATCTGACAGGTTGCAAGCACCGAATAGGCTGAAGAAAATAAATTGAAAATTTTTTCCTACAACAACTTGGTGCACCAGGTCTAGCACAACACTTGCAAGTCATGGAATACAATCAATTTCTCAAACAATAATGGGCTTCTTAGTGTTTTAACACAACACTTGCAAGTCATGGAATACAATCAATTTCTCAAATAATAATGGGCTTCTTAGTTAACCAAACAACATACAGGCACTAACCAAACAACATACAGACACTAACCAAACAACATACAGACACTAACCAAACAACATACAGGCACTAACCAAACAACATACAGACACTAACCAAACATACAGACACTAACCAAACAACATACAGACACTAACCAAACAACATACAAACACTAAATACACATACAGACACTAATCAAACAACATACAGACACTTACCAAACAACATACAAACACTAACCAAACAACATACAGACACTAACCAAACAACATACAGACACTAACCAAACAACATACAGACACTAACCAAACAACATACAAACACTAACCAAACATACAGACACTAACCAAACAACATACAGACACTAACCAAACATACAGATACTAACCAAACAACATACAGACACTAACCAAACAACATACAAACACTAACCAAACAACATACAGACACTAACCAAACAACATACAGACACTAACCAAACAACATACAGACACTAACCAAACAACATACAGACACTTACCAAACATACAGACACTAACCAAACATACAGACACTAACCAAACATACAGACACTAACCAAACAACATATAGACACTAACCAAACATACAGACACTAACCAAACAACATATAAACACTAACCAAACATACAGACACTAACCAAACAACATACAGACACTAACCAAACAACATACAGACACTAACCAAACATACAGACACTAACCAAACAACATACAGACACTAACCAAACAACATACAGACACTAACCAAACAACATACAGACACTAACCAAACAACATACAGACACTAACCAAACAACATACAAACACTAACCAAACAACATACAGACACTAACCAAACAACATACAGACACTAACCAAACAACATACAGACACTAACCAAACAACATACAGACACTAACCAAACAACATACAGACACTAACCAAACAACATACAGACACTAACCAAACAACATACAGACACTAACCAAACAACATACAGACACTAACCAAACATACAGACACTAACCAAACAACATACAGACACTAACCAAACATACAGACACTAACCAAACAACATACAGACACTAACCAAACAACATACAGACACTAACCAAACATACAGACACTAACCAAACAACATACAGACACTAACCAAACATACAGACACTATCCAAACAACATACAGACACTAACCAAACATACAGACACTAACCAAACAACATACAGACACTAACCAAACATACAGACACTAACCAAACATACAGACACTAACCAAACATACAGACACTAACCAAACAACATACAGACACTAACCAAACAACATACAGACACTAACCAAACATACAGACACTAACCAAACATACAGACACTAACCAAACATACAGACACTAACCAAACAACATACAGACACTAACCAAACAACATACAGACACTAACCAAACAACATACAGACACTAACCAAACAACATACAGACACTAACCAAACATACAGACACTAACCAAACAACATACAGACACTAACCAAACAACATACAGACACTAACCAAACAACATACAGACACTAACCAAACAACATATAGGTGCTAACCAAACAACATACAGACACTAACCAAACAACATACAGACACTAACCAAACATACAGACACTAACCAAACAACATACAGACACTAACCAAACAACATACAAACACTAAATACACATACAGACACTAACCAAACAACATACAGACACTAACCAAACAACATACAGACACTAACCAAACAACATACAGACACTAACCAAACATACAGACACTAACCAAACAACATACAGACACTAACCAAACATACAGACACTAACCAAACAACATACAGACACTAACCAAACAACATATAGGTGCTAACCAAACAACATACAGACACTAACCAAACAACATACAGACACTAACCAAACATACAGACACTAACCAAACAACATACAGACACTAACCAAACAACATACAAACACTAAATACACATACAGACACTAACCAAACAACATACAAACACTAACCAAACAACATACAGACACTAACCAAACAACATACAGACACTAACCAAACAACATATAGACACTAACCAAACAACATACAGACACTAACCAAACAACATACAGACACTAACCAAACAACATACAGACACTAACCAAACAACATACAAACACTAACCAAACAACATACAAACACTAACCAAACATACAGACACTAACCAAACAACATACAGACACTAACCAAACAACATACAGACACTAACCAAACAACATACAGACACTAACCAAACAACATACAGACACTAACCAAACAACATACAGACAATAACCAAACATACAGACACTAATCAAACAACATACAGACACTTACCAAACAACATACAGACACTAACCAAACAACATACAAACACTAACCAAACAACATACAGACACTAACCAAACATACAGACACTAATCAAACAACATACAGACACTTACCAAACAACATACAGACACTAACCAAACAACATACAGACACTAACCAAACAACATACAGACACTAACCAAACAACATACAGACACTAACCAAACATCATACAGACACTAACCAAACAACATACAAACACTAAATACACATACAGACACTAACCAAACAACATACAGACACTAACCAAACAACATACAGACACTAACCAAACAACATATAGACACTAACCAAACAACATACAGACACTAACCAAACAACATACAGACACTAACCAAACAACATACAGACACTAACCAAACAACATATAGGCGCTAACCCAAACCCAAAAGGCACTTTACTTTGAGTTTTGGGCTTTTAGTACTTTAAGGCATTTTTTAAATTTTAATGTTAACTTTACAATTTGGCTATTTTGAATAGTCTTTATTTTGGTAGTCTTATAGAATATAGACAGTTAAAAGTGACCTATAAAAAAATACCAGCCTATTGAAGTATTAAAGTATTAATAAAAATAAAGTTACAAAATTATAAACATTCATTGTAACATACATTCATAGATAAAACCAACAAAAAAGAAGTTAATCACAGTGTGTTCAACACAAAAGATCTATTACACAATGTGGATCTTACTTTCATCTAAAAGATACCCTTTAAAAATCAAGATTCCATCATATTTGAAATCAGCCTTTTATGTATAAGGAATGCTGATCACGAGAGGGCCTAAACCATATCGCAAAGCAATGACAATAACAGGGAACCATTTTACTTTTAACCCCTTAATGTCTGAATTATGTTCCAAGCGTGTAAAAAATTGTTTGTGCTGATTTTCTCTCATCATACTGACATAAAATTTGAGGTATATTGTTGTTTTTAAATTTGGACTTATTTTTTATGATAATTACGGTATGTGGCGAAAACGCGACATCAGGCACTAATGGACCAAACAGTAATTTAATTTTTTTTAGTCCGGGTCATTTTACTATTTTTACTGACACGTGTTTCTCTAAATATCCACGCACAAACAATAGAATATGATAAACTAAACATGCTGACATGCAAGGAGATGTAGAATCACTTGCAAATTTCATGTAAACTATACTTTTTAGCTCAGGCATAGAGTTACATAACTCTGCTGCACCTGCTCACTGACTAACTCTTATGAATGGGTAATTTGAAGTTTTGCTGTCGTGGTTCTACTACACTACAGTAACACACTACATATGAAACGACTTCCTCCAATGTGTAGAGCCTTAGTTGTCCCCAGTTATGTCATTTTCGTGAACTCTTATTCAAGGTCAACTAATAAAGACGCATATTTCACATTTGACCTATATTTGCTATACACACATAGCACATGAACAAATACTGTCCTAAATAACAGTGTTCAGCCATTGTATATTCGTCCATGCTTAATGCAGCTGCTATGGGTACTTCGTGTCACTGCTGTGGGTACTCAGTGCCACCGGTGTGGGTACTCACTGCTATTGTTGATGGTACCCTATGTTTCAGATTCATGCTACGGCTATTGTGCTAGACTGATTCTGCTATTGATTACCAATGACAGTGCTGTAGCTACATATTGCCACTGGTATGGGTACTCAGTGCTGAAGGTGTGGGTACTCAGTGTCACTGCTGTGGGTACTCAGCACTGGCGCTGTTGGTAATCGATAACGTTGATGTGGGTACTCAGTCTTAGCAGTGGGTACTCAGTATCACTGCTGTGAGTGCTTAGTGCTCAAACTGTGGTTGCTCAGTGTCACTGATGTTGGTACTCAGTGCTGAAGATGTGGGTACTCAATAACACTGCTGTCTGTACTAAATGCCAGTATAATGCCACTAATGTGGCTATTCAATAGCACTGCAATGTGTATGTTTGTCAGTACTCAACCTTACTGTATTTATTACGAGGTGTAGGTCTATGCTCAGTGTTATTATTGTCAGGGTCACTGTGAAGACATTTCTTTGGTGGTATCCAGGATAGTGGTCCACCACCTCACTTCCTGTTGTCTATTTATTTTTTTATGTTCTCCTAATATTTTACAATACTATTTCAAAGCTAAATTCGTTATATTGGACCCAGCAACATGATCACATTATTCAAGCATCGCTCTCTCTCCATATGCCAATGTCAGTGAAACAGGTGAACTCTACTTCACCTACCACATGGACCATAACGTTCTAAAGTGCACTTTTATATATAGGTGAAGACTACATTGTAAATCCTTTACTTATTTATAATCAAACGTAAATCCTTTACTTATTTATAATCAAACTTGAATGAATGACAGCTTGGCGATGCATCGTATTTCGTTATACCTGCTTGGCAAAAGATGTTCCATTATATGT